AAGGATTTCTTTTGTTAAACTATTTGATCAATATACAATCTCTTATCAATAAAAATGTTTAAGTCATGTGATTTAAAATGAGGTATACATCAAAATGAGTTATGAAGTGCAAAGGCTGGTAATTCTACAAGATATTTTTATTCTTAAATTGAAAAGTGACGCATACATTTAAACATGGAATATTTTACTTGAATTTTTTTTCTAACATTATTTAGGCATTATTGTTGAAATGTATTATTTGTTTTACATGCGTAAGATTGATTAGAAAACTTTAATTGAGTGAAGCGATTATTTTTTTAAATAATGAACTGAAGTATATATGTAATGGCAAGTAAGAAAAAGATATTCCATTCTAGTATTTATTTGTATATATAAGTGGATATAATTGTCTCTGATTAAATAGAGAAAAGAAAACCATGTCAGCGTTTGTTGGAAGTTGGAGGCTGGTGGAGACGACGAATTTCAAAGCACTTCTTGATAAGGTTTGTAAGTGAAACAATGATGAAAAATAAATAAATAAACTTTATATCAGTTTCATTTTATAACTGATTGGTTAAAACCTTTTAGATGTTGACGAAAGGGTAAGACAAGCAATTATGAACCACAAACCAACGGTAACATATACACTAGTAGGAAGTGATGGTATGGAAATAAAGACTGAATCAGAAATGGGGACAAATGTGATGACTTTTAAATTTGGTGTAGAATTCATACAAGATACAGGATTCCTTTCAACACCAAAGGTATTGTTTGATTTAGATTTAAATTTGTATTTTTGTAACATGTTTAATAAGACGTTGAGATCATATATAATTGGGCCAGATGTGGGTAACTTCATATCGTGTAGCATCTGTTCAAGGGATCCCATATTAATAATCGGATTAGTAAACCAGCGGTTTTTTCTTAAAAACTTGAAGACAATCTAACTGTATGAACAAAGAAATAATATTACGGAATATTTAATGGCTATTTTGTCAGTTTTCAGTGATAGTTAAAGATGGTATTCTGCGGACTAGTTTCAGCGTATTTAGAGGTCCAGAAATTATTCACTCCTAGCCTTATTCAATTCTCCTAGACCATCTGATTAAAGTTACCTAGTTACTTATTCCGAATGTTCAATAAAAAATAGATCATATATAGTATCTATTTATAGAAAAATATCTGTTATAGATTTTAGGAAATCCTTATTCAACAGGGTATTTATGCTCACTCAATTGATCATTTATTATGTGCAATGGTTCAGATAATCTTTCATGAAGCTGAGCTTTGATATTATCTGATGGCATCCACTGAGGCCTGCTTAAATCACTAGATTACTAGAATTCCAGCTCAATAAAATGCCTAGACTCTTCTTCATTTCTTATTGTTTGAATTATTCAACTATATTAGATGATCACTGCATGAACTCGCGCACATATATAATTAGCTTTCAGCAAAACGCTGTGAGATTCTTGAAGGAAGTGAGGAAAAAGTATACACAATTCGTTCTCTCTGCATATTAAAAAAACACTGCCTCACGCTATATACTTCAGATTACTACTTTACATGTAAATCCTGTACAAAGACGAAATATTTTGGTACTAAATATACTAAAACCTCTGTACTGTGTGTTCGCATATTGTCTGAAAGGAAGCTTTATTGTTATTATGACTTTTATATGTGGGTCCTAAAGGTTATAATGGCAAATTTTTAAATTTGTTAAAGCATAGAAGTTTCTTTTTTCTTTAGCTAATGATTTGGTGAAAGAATAACTATCCGTCATTTTAATATCTGTAATATTACAGCATTCACAGACAGAGAGGAATAAGTTTGAAGTGATGTTTTTAGAGCCAGTTAGTAGATATCATAGCTAAGCACCAAATTCATTTTTATCGAAGATGGTTGTGTGCGAAGCACTTTAACAAAGTTTATCACCTAGAGATTTCAACTGATATCATTTAGCCTTTAATCTTTAGCAGTTATGTCTATATGTAGGAGAATCTTTGTTTTACATTGGTGGCACTAATTTAAATGCTTAAGAGAATTTGCTTGATGGTGGCTGATAGTCGAATTTGGTGAGCATGCTTCTTTATATTTTAAACCCTTTGGATGAATATAAATGCACCCGCTGTAGCTCAAACTCATCAACTACTGATCTAAATAAGAGAGCCTTATCCGCTGGACTGATGATCAGGAACAGCCATCTGTTATGTCCTTGACATATAAATAAACATAAATAAGGTTTAAGAGAACGTCTTATAAAGAAAAACCCAGTTATTCATAGTGTACTTTCACTTTGCAGACCTAATCTTGAGAGTTTGATAAGTATTGCGAATGTGAAAACTTTATTGGCTACTGTCCAGAAAACTATTTTCCAATGAGATGATCTTTACTTTAATCATAAGTAAATGACTGTGTACTGCTGAAAAGTCCCAAACTGGGACAAAACAGCTGTTCAGTACTCCCAGGTTTTCCAATGGTTCTCTAACCAATGTCAGCTCATGATGAAATCCTGGAACCAATCAACCAAATCCCTACAAACCAATACTTGAATATCAATGAGATGCTCACTGGCGACTGGCCCTATTCAGGTAGGTAGTTACCTGTGGTTTCAGTGGGAATTCGTGACCAGTAGGGTGCAGCCGGTCGGGTGTGAGGACAAATACTCTCCGAAGACATTGGCGAGCGGTTGCGCTATATCGTGAATTGGCAGAAGTTAGAATTCATGGGCCATTGAATCGGGTCCCAGTGGCTTACTGGTTTGCGATCTCGCCTTGTAACCAGAAGGTCCCGGGTTCGAACCCCGGTGGTTGCGTGCTGATGAAGAGTCCCAAACTAGGACGAAACAGCTGTCCAGTACTTCCAGGTTTTCCAGTGGTTCTCTAACCAATGTCAGCTCATAATGAAATCCTGTAACCATTCAACCAAATCCCTACAAACCAATACTTGAAAATTACAAATAAGTGACATGATATTTTAAAATTGAAAAGGAGGTTGACAAGTATATCGAAATCATAAGCTAAGCGCCAGTACTTTTATGTTTAAAAGCAAGAGGAACAAATAAAATGATATTACCTCTAGTACTATTGGCTGTAATTGTGTCATCTAAGTCATTGCTTTATACTGAATCAAAGTTTCACACTGTAAAAACATCGTCTTCATTCTATTCTAAATATTAATACTTATTCCTTACCTTTTGTCTTCTTTTTTGAAAATATAAAGACGGTAATTAGAAAGTTGTCTGAAAATGCTATTGAACAAACTCAGCAACACTCAACTGGTATTGTCAAGGTTCTTCGTACCGTAGAAGGTGATAAAATGACAGTGGTAAGTATTAATTATTTTAGTACAATATATATGTGTATATATACATATATGTACATATTTATACTGACATGACTAGTAACTCACGTTTAATTTTATCGCAGTAAAAGCATACTAGTCAAGCGAAAATGTTTAAATGGATTGAAAACTAAACTATTTGGCACCAAATCAAAAATTACCGCATAACTTGATAATCATGTATGTCAATGTTACTGGTTGTAATAATAACGATAAACACAGAATGTCAGGAATTCAGTCAGCGCCAACACTAAAAAACAAGCCCTTGACAGTAGTTACTTACTAGTGATCTATAAATGTATCCATTTCAATCCTGCAACAGATTAGTTGTGAGCTTAGTAGTGACGTCTCAGCTGTGGTAGTGGGTGACACAATCTGAAATCTCCAAGAGGACATCAATTCCTTCCAGATTTCAGGTACGCTGAACAGTGCGCCTGACTATTTCCGACCACCCTAAAATCACGTTTTCACTGAATGCAGAAAGTAGTGCAAACAGGGTACAAACAGCTGAAGAAATGTAAAGGAAGGTATGTAGAGTGAAGACGTACCAAAATGCTACCATAGTGAATGCCACTTGCTTTTTGTGTGTAGGATACTGGTATCCGAACTGGAATAATAAAAGCTTCTATAATTGAGTACTACTTTATTCCATCATCTATCGACAGTTAAAAAAGCCCTTATGCTGGCAGCAGTAAAGCTTGTAGTGCACCAGATGCCTTGTGAATTAACCTATTAAAATTATTGTTCCTATGTAGATTAACTGAGATTGGTTTGTGATAGAATCTAATTTGAAATCGAATAAATCTTCAAAGACTCAAAATTGGAAAGATGATTTTTGATTATCATCATTACTTAACAACCTCGTCTAATTTACTAGCTATCTAGTTTTCCAGTCGGTCCGAAGCCCGGGTAAAGAGGGAGGGTTGGGCGTGGGACTAGCGACTTAACTGGATGAAGAGGCAGGCGGTGAAGACAGGACTCCAAATGAACATAGAGAAGATGGAAGTGGTGAAGATAACCAACGAACAGCAACAACGGCAACAACCTGCACCAACTGCCACCAAAGGGAGAGATTTGACAGAGGTTACTTCCTTCACTTATCTAGGAAACATCGTTTCAACTACAGGCAAAACGGACGAAGATGTCAAAGTCAGAATTGGAAAGGCAGGATACGCCTTCATCAATCTGAAACCAGTTTGAAAATCTTCTGCACTCAGCATAAGGAACAAGATTCAGATTTACAACACCAGTGTCAACTAATTCCTTCTATACAGGTCAGAAACTTGCATTGCGCGTCACGAAGGGGATTTCTAACAGGTTGCAGACCTTCATCAACAGCTGCCTCCTTCTCTGGCTCCATAATGAAGATCAAATGGCCATAAACAGTTAGTAACAAAAAACTCTGGCTGAAAACAAACTAACAGGCGAGAGCCGATCGCTCAGCAAATATGTAGGAGAAAATGGAGATTGATTGGGCAAACATTGAGGAGACCGTCGAATGACATCGCGCACCACGCCCTCGAGTGGAATCCCAATGGGAAGCGACGAGTGAGTCGTCGGTGTTAGGGTGACATCGAGGAGATCGTGTGAAGAGGAGGTGAAAGGTTGTGGGCAGTCGTGGCCCAAGCTGAAGAGGACGGCAGAAGATAGGACAAAGTTGAGACGTGTTGTTTAAGCTTTGTGTCCCACCAGGAACCCAAGGGAATAATAATATAACCATTATTTAACAGCAAATATTGCTGACTGATGTATTCAGGTGATAAAGTTATTTTAAATAAAAATTAACAACTTTCTAGTGTCATTACTTAAATGTATCTTTATATGGATTTTGTTTTAATAAGTACTCAAAATTGTTTCATCATTTTAAAATATTTGTTTTCCAGGATGTCTCTATGGATGATGTGAAAGGCGTTCAAATATTTGAACGCCTATGAAGAACACTTCGCCGTGATAATAACAGATTCTGGATTATGTTCAGTTTATTTTTTGTCTTATTCATGAACTTTTCATACCTTGGTGTTAATACATTTAGAATAAATTATATAAAACTTTTATTATTATTTCTTTCTAATGTCGTAACGACTGAAATAAAGGGAAGAAGGAAAAATTTTCTTGTATTAAAATATTTTTTAGCAGATAAGTGTCATATATTATTACACATATATTATTATCCCCTTGACTTCCAAGTGGAACATGTGACATCAGCCGTACGTCGCCATTTGACTCGGTTCTCTAAAGTCTATTTTCGTTGGCTCCACGACTATTCATAGCTTTTCATCTCCTTCTCACATGATCTCCTACATGTCGCCCTCGGTCGCCAAACTCAGCATTTCCCATTCGGATTTCACTGGAGGGCCTGGAGTGCGATATCACTCAACGGTCTTCTCAGCATGCGTCTCATCCGTTTGCATTTATTTCTGCGTATTTGTTAGTTGACTGCGTATTTTTACGTGTTTACAAAGATAAGGTGCCTTTTTGAAATTTGTTACGGGATTACACATAAATAATCTAGACGAGTTGCATTTAAACGTGGCCGGTTTTTGTTTATAATCTATCAATAAACATTAACTTTAAATAAACATAATGAAATTAATACGGAGTTGTCTTCAACAAGAATGTTCAATCATTTGGAAAGTTGATGAAAAGCTGATTGATTTTACAGAAATTTTATCGAAACTCAATATTCTACAAAGGACTATTGGAAACCGAGAAGAATTTGTTGGTTATTTCGACTCTTCAGCATTTCGATGACCTTATAATCATTCTGACAATGTGCTTCTCTAAAAGATTCACCTGGTTATTATTTAATAGATATGTCTTAACTATCTCCTCAGACGTACATAACATAGAATAGATATCGTGAGGAAACAGTCTTTTTGCTTACACTTCCCTGAGATTACAGATTCACAAGATCCAGTTTGTATTTCCGTATGTTTGTCATTACACTAACTAATAAATAAGGCCATTGGAAATGTATATGGCATGATCACTCCAACAGAAAAGGTTAAGTACATTAAGTACATAACTGTCAGAACTATTATTATTATTAAGAAAAAATGATGCACTTTTCGAAAGCTCTTGTAGGAAGGGCTGTATACTGCTGACTAAATAGTAGAATGAACTTTAGGACTACAGGCTAAGTATATTTGTGTACTTTTTATGGAATGGCAAATAAGTTTGTGTGATAAAATACGTACTATGCATTCTTCAACGTACAAGATTTTACAAGTAAAGTCAAATCGAATTAGCCGTTAGAATGGCAATATTTGCAGAAAGTTTTAAAAATAAGTACTTGTAAATATTTCTGGAGTTCAGGTATGTCTTTTGAGATAAAATTAATTAAATAGCACAAAATATCAAGTTTTCTTAAATAAAATTATGAAGGATTTTACGAAGGCCTTTAAAGAAACCGTTAAAGTACAGTTTTTTCTTCTCTAATTCAGCGTACTTTTAAAGGATTTTACTAACTTCCGTGCCTTTTCTTTAATTTTGTCTAAATCTATGAATCCTAAATCCTACTGCAAAAATCGCTGATGTTTCTAATTTGTCGCAGTAGTGATTTAATCTTATAAATTTATTCTACTAGGATTCCACGGTTAGGCTAGTTTGTACCGTCAAAGACTATGGGGATATTATACTATCTGTTTGTTCAATGGTAAATTCTGTTAACTACTTAATTTTTATTTAATTATTTAAAAAGTGACTGATACTGAGAAATCCACCTGTGTCATAAAGCAGAAATATTTAACATTGTTCAAATGCTACCAGTAAAAACAGACTAAGTATACATTTCATCTGCTTTGTCAGTTTTTCCTGAAGATTATTTGATGTATATAGTTGTGAAATGGTAGTAAAACACCTAAAACAGAAACCGTAGTTATTTAAATATACACAAATAATTACAAAGATGGGATGAATGAATGTAGGAAGGATCACATTGGAAGACACAACTCATATAGGGAAGACTATGATGAATTGTGCATGTTCAACAAATGAGAAAAAAGTTTGCCGGCGAGTTGAGTTTGAAACTTGAGATGTAAGTAATAATTGACCTGATTTTCTTAACTTCAGTAATATAAGACAGATACTAATAATATTATTGAAAGATACATCAACTGTAATGTTATTTCTTCTGCTAGACATAAATACAAATAATTTTGGGTAGGAAATAGTAACCATTACTGAAAAATTATAACATAAAGTGAATAACTGAGATGATTTGTTCTGAGATGTGGGAGATAGGGAATTCGTTGAAAAGAGTAGACAGTTATATACTGTCAGTATGTAAGTATTTATTAGTTTTATATCAAAGAAGTCTGAGTTCATAGGAACAAGTGCTTCTAAGGAAATGTTTTCCCAGTCGGAAACTACAATTTAAAAAAGGAACAAAGCTTTACAAATTTTGCAGAAATGACAATGTATTAATTTTCTGTTTCGTTTAACATTCAAATCATTACACTTGATTACATTACACTTGTTTGAGTTATTTTGTATTTCCCGTTGACTGACATCTGTTGGATTGAAATGCTCAGTCTCTGTAGACATACTGCCTTCTATTACAGACTCCTCCACCATATCTGAAGGTCAACAAGGTGTTATTCGGTTGATGTTATCTGGCAGTGGGAACCAAGACCCACGTTTTGTCCTGTTTGAAACTCGTCAGTGTCGTTCATCAGATTACCGGTGTTTAGAACAATGGATTCTGGATATAAGACTCAGTGGGAATAAAATCATTCATTGGGGATGCAGGTGTATCCTACTGGAGAGTCTCGAGAGAGACATAATGCCATTCTAGGTTTACACCAACCAACATCTGTCAAATTATATTAAACTTGCAGTTCTTTAAAAGATTTGCTATATCTCAGCAGTAGTCAATATTAACTTAATTTTAAGTTTTTGCATTAATCTGACCTTTAAGCATCTTAATTCTTCTGAAATATTGTTTAGTTTCTGTTTATTTCCTCGTAATAGTTATTCCTTTCTAAATTTATAATTCTAGAAATATTTTGTCGAGTGATATAAGTCAATATAAAGTCACTTTAATTGGCGGTTGTTTTCTCTGAGCAGGATGGTGTAAGTGAGAAGTTTTCAGTGTTCCACTAAACATAACATTAAGTGCAGATTTCATGTTGTTCGCAAAATGAGAATCTGAACTACTCATAAAAGGGAAAGTTGAGAAAATATATCTTCCAAGTTGGATATCATTTAGAGACCCCTTGGAAACTGAAGAGTACTGGAAAGTTATTTGGTAATAGTTTGGAACGTTTTAGAAACACGTACCCATGACCCTGCCTAGAATCAAACCCAGAACCTTCAGGTTACGAGGCGAGCTCGTTGATTATCAGGATGAAACAGGTCAAGTATGAAGACTAATACTCACCGGTGACATTGACAGGCGGTGGCGCTAAAAATCGTGAATTGATAGAAGTTAGAATTCATAAAGAATTGAATCCCATCCCAGTGAATGAATGGTTAGCAAGCTCACCTCGTAACATGATGGTCCTTGGTAAATTCTTCAGGGAGATTCCTAGACTAGGATGAAACAGCTATCCAGCACTCCTAAGTTTTCAATGGTCTTTTAAGTGATATCAATCCATGATCAAAATTGAAACCAATCAAATCTGTATAAACTGACTCTTGAAAATTTATCCTTATTGAATCAGTAGTATTTTCTGAGCTAGATAGTTTTATTGTATAGTCTTTCTTCACAAAACCTTCAACGTAGACACCAGTAGGAAAGGCAATGGAAGCTTCAAAATTAAATCACCTAGATAAATATTAATAATAATCTACTTTATTCCAAAAACAGTACTTATAATACAGAATGGAATTCTCAGCATTTGTCACAATATTGCATCTGATTTACTCAAAATATAAATAAAATTAAAAATTAAAACAAAATTAACCGGAGGAATTTGTCCACATTTACGACATAAAGTCGAAAATATTCGAAGCACGAATTGAGAATATTAAATATAATAATAATAATAATAACAGTGAGTTTGTTTCAAACGGTATTGTCGATTCAGTTTGGAAACTTTAGCATGTTATGGATTATTGGATCTAATGTTCTGTTGATATAGTATAGTGAGGGGAAATACAAAATTAACAGTTATAACACAGCTTAAAATGATGTTCACACTTATGAAGAAAAAAATAAACAAAACGAAAAAATTGAGAGGATTATAAATATAAGAAATACAATAACAATAAAGTATGATGCTTTAAGGGTGGAGGAAATGGTTTATTTAGTGGTGCAAAGAAGGTTAGTTAGTTCATGCCTGACACTATTTTCATCACATAAAGTACGTGCTAAATATGGTATAGTGGAATTTTTATACTTAGACGTACGTGCATAAATTCTTCTGAAAAGACTTCTTGTTTTACCTGAGGAGACACAAGGTTGGAGCTGCAGGTAGAATGGGTGCTCAGAGTCTGACAAAATTCCTTTAGCAAATTTGTTGCATGACATCAAGTGCCTATCAGTGACAATGCCAACGATATGGCCCAATGGGATACCACTCGTCCTACTGACAGTCTTCAGAGTTCTACGAAGTATGACATAGTCTTTTTCAAGCAATCCAGGAAAGAATAAGGGTGAACAGTAAAGAAGAATAGGTAAAATGCACGAGTTGACAAACTGTAAGAGGAGTGGTTGAGTTATGCCTGAGTGCCTTAACTTCCTAATGTAAAAAGTCAGACGAAATATTCTTTTAGAAATCGCTAAGACATGGGAAGAGCAGGATAGGTCAGAAGAAGGTATTAATCCAAGATACTTAATTTCAGACTTGATTTCTATTACACTGTCATCAAGTTTGCAACAGTCATAGGAACCAACAGCTTCATTTAACTTTCGTTTACATCGGAAACTGAAATTAACAGTCTGACATTTGGAAGGATTAAGTTTAAGGGGAACATTTTTACACCAGTTTTATCCACCTGAGCTATAAATCTTCTCCATCATTTCTAAATCTGTCTTTGTATAGATACGGTCACTATGGTTCAAAGAAGTGATTTACTTATATACTTACCATTACTAATTACGATAAAGTAATAAAGGTATTTAATCTATTCCGCTGATTTAGAATATTTAAATAGTTTTGTTTTTTCTGTGTGCAACAAGTTTATTAGACTTATAAATGTTATTTGGAATGAAGAGTTAAAATTGTCCATTATCGATATTTGTGTTTCAAATAAATTTTCTTAACGAAATGATGATTAGAAATTGGGACAGTAGTTATTTGAACTAGTTTAAATGATTATGGTCGTCCATCAACTTTATTTCACTGCCTGTTTATGCATGACACAGTTTTCAGCCGTATGTACATTCTGTTATTTAGTTAAGATATTAGTAGTCATTTTATCTCATCGTTAATGTAACTGTATATGCATTCTTATATCTATTTAATAAAATGTTTGCGTAAGTCCTTTTTACTCGACTACCCTGTGAAATGATTTCAATTAATCGATAACGATATCATCATTTTTCACTTATTCTACATTGGGGAAAAGTTAAAAGCCTTTCAGGAATCCATTGTTCAGGAAAATTGATTTTGAGAAAGTCTCACAGTGTTATACAGTAATATTTACTGATGACATTTCGAGCACAATTTATTGCTCATAATCATATCAAGTCACTCATACAACTTTCTAACGTCGCTTATATAATTCCATTGCTTTTCATCTCTTGATTTGATTGGTAGTAGTACTTCCCATTTCTCTGATATTGGAGATGATTCATTCCTATTGCATGTGTTGGGTGTAGACTTGATGAACCAGGATCCAGTAGTAAATCCCTCTCTCCACCTACCTATATTACTTTTTAGAATTTTAACTCTGTTCCCCCCTATTTTGTGGTTTTGTGTTAATGCATGCAGTGTAATTGCTGACCTTTTTGCTAAATTACTTCGTGTGATCAATCATTTTAACCTTAGCTAAATGAGGAAATGAAACAGATAGAAGAAGCGTTGATGTTAAATAACTATCCTATGAAATTCATTAGGAAGAGCAGAAAAGGTCAAAATAAAAGTAACGCTGAAACTAATATTGATAACATAAGACAGAATATAAGACATCTACAGTTTTACCATATAAGGAAGAGGACATCTGAGTCCCTACGTAGGATTCTCAACAAACCAGGAATTAGGGTGGCATTCAAATCTACGAACTCACTCAGAGACAAACTTTGTAGGCTAAACGACCCGGTGGACCCAATTAGACAAAATAATATGATTCACAAATTACCTTGCAATGACTGTAAGTTAGGTCAATCACATTGGGAAAACTAGTAGATCAGAAGTGGTGAGATTATCAGAACATAAGAATTCAGCTAAGGTTAGAATGACTGATCACACGAAGTAATGCAATTACACTGCATGCATTAACACACAACCACACAATAGGGGGGAACAGAGTTAAAGTTCTAAAAGGTAATATAGGTAGGTGGAGAGAGGGATTAACTACTGGATCCTGGTTCATCAAGTCTACACCCAACACATGCAATAGGAATGAATCATCTCCAATATCAGAGAAATGGGAAGTACTACTACCAATCAAATCAAGAGATGAAAAGCAATGGAATTATATAAGCGACGTTAGAAAGTTGTATGAGTGACTTGATATGATTATGAGCAATAAATTGTGCTCGAAATGTCATCAGTAGATATTACTGTATAACACTTTGAGACTTCATCAAAATAAATTTTCTCCAATAATAGAATTATAATCTATCACAATACCGAAGTTCTATTTCTATATCTGTCAGTAATCATATCCACATTTTGTAATGAAAGGTAGATAGCCAAATATTTCGATAATCAAAAAATTAATTTGCGAATTCTTTCGAAAAAATCAAACTGTATACTGTCAGAGAAGGAAAAAGAAATGAAAATATGGACTGGCTTCTTAGAAAGTAAGAAAGTATAAAGGTAATGTTACATAAGACGCGAAGATAAATCAGGCAATGTAAAGTTTAAGTGAAGTTCACCCTTAAACTGAAGAAATCTTATGTAGAAATATTTTCCAGAAAAATCTGATGCTAATAGCTGGAGTGATCGACGACAAGTGAAAAAAGGGACTCATAACAAACCAGAGTGGCTTCGTTTAGTATCATGAGAAAGAAGATTTATTTGCTACATTACAACTAATATTAACTGGTCATAGAAGAAAACTGTTGACTTAATTCTCCTCATGTGCATTTTTATCTCTTCTCGAGAAATACGCTTTACGAACACAGTCTTTAGTTATCACATAGATTCCGGCGGCTCATACAGATTGTTCTTTTGATGGTTTATTAATCATTGTATAATAACTTAATGGAGATTTTCATTAGCTTCGTAAAATACAGAAAATATCTAATGTTTTCTGTTATTTGCAAAGGTATACCAATAATCTTCATATGAATGGAGTAGCATTGCCTTGATTAGTCCTCTAATTTTGGTAAATTTCTTCCTCTGACCCAACCAGCACCCGAAATATGTTTCCTTTCGTTTTGAATTCCTAGTAAAAAATAAGGCTTCGAAACTAATCTTTGAAGTTTCAATAGCGCTTGTATCATGTTTTACGGAATGGTTTTGCTAGCCTCATACTGAACCTTTCCTCTTTAATGATCTCACTAACAGCTAACCGAGGTTTGGGAGTCAGTCGACCGAGAATTGAACCTGGATCACATGCATGACTTGCTGGCATCGTACTCCTGAACCATCGACGCACGAAACTAGGTGGTTTGAAAGTGCGTCAGCCAGGAATCGAACCGTAACCGTCTACATAGCGTAGTTGTGTGGTTTACTGTAATTTCTTTAGTTTCTTTTCAAGGTGGTGAGACTTCTTAATATATCAGTAGATCTCGGGCACTGTGTTAGTATGTAATTCCATATTAGTTTGTTTATTAGATATATCACACAGTGAAACAGTATGATTTACTGGATGACATTTCGAACACAATTTATTCTTCATAATCATATCAGTTATAATCACACGACTTCGAACCTTGACTTTTATGGTTTTCTTTGTTCTCTCCTATTTGTCGTCGTTGAGGTAGTAGAGTTTTCCAGATGTCAGGGTGGACAGGTGTTGAATCATTCGTGTTACACGTGTTTGCAGTTGATTCGATAAACAAAGCTTCCGTTATCAATCTCTGTCTCTACCCTGTGACATTAGATTTCAAAACTGTCATCTTATCCCATCCTATTGTATGGTTGTGTGTAATTGCATGTAGTGCTATAGCTGAACCATTCTCTAGATTTCTTATCTTATTCGGGTCAACTAATCTAGATTTTGCTAGGTTTTTATGCTCGGCTAGTCTGACTGCACTTGTTCTACTACTTTGACCTATGTATTTGACCTGACAATCATTGCAGGGTATTAGATAAACTAAATTGATACTTCCACCAACATAGTACAACAACAGGCACTTGCAGGAAAAGAAAAATATGAGTGTTGCATCAGACCATATAATTAGGAATACACGATAAATACATAAAAACATTTCTAAAAATGTTAATAAAGCTTTTACAGATTTCTCTTGCAAATGATAAACAGTTTGAATCAATTGTACATGGGAGCCTTTACGGAGTTTTCCAGTATTAGTTACGCAATGTCGTTTGATCCGTATTTGTTGAGTCAAATTAAACGCGTTGATATTTAATTGTTGCAGTCTGATTCTGACTTTTTATTGTCTGAATTAAGAAAAGGAAATAATCACCCAAAAGTTTTATAAAGAAATAAGTGTACAAAAAGCAGTAGGCAACAAATTAATATTCTATTAGATACACTTTAGAAAATGATAAATTTTCACTAAGATTTTCTTTTAAAAAGAAGCACTATCAGTCAGTTAGAAAGTGCTTTAGGCACTTATTCTGTCCCTGCGTAAGATTTTTCCAATAACGAGCATTTGAAACTGTCGTACTTGTGTACAATCAGTTCATCAGTCGGATAATGCCTCTAACTCCACTTCATTTGTAGTATAGCGCAACTACAATATGTTTTTATTTGTGGTCAGAGAATTTTCCCAGTTACCCGGCTTATTTCACAGATCACGATGGGAATTTTCAGTGTTTTATTTGAAAATAGTAACTAATGAGCATTAATTTAGTGTCAGAAGGACTGATTTGTTTGCGCATTTATCTTATTTAACGATTTATAAGTCCTATTATGTATTTCTGAGAAAATGTTTCAAGCTAGCACAAAATAGCAGTTTAGTTCTTCTTAATCTGTACTGATTGCCTGAATGATTTTTTTCACTCATATAACTCTTAAGAACATACATTCACAATGCTAATTCTTTCTTTCTATCCGGGCATAATTTTGTTTGAGTTTTCATTCCCTGACGGTGTATAACTCCATTTCATTTTGTTTAATAGACACATCATACAGTAAGACAATCTTATAACGTGCGTCGGTTGCAAAGCAGTGGAATGCTCACCAACCACGCAGGTGGTTTGGGGTTCGATCCCCAGCCAACGCACTTCCAAACCTCACTAAACCAGTTATAAAACTGGTAAAGAGGGAAGGTTGGGCATGAGGCTAGCAACTCCATTCTGTAAAAATAAACACCACTGCTAAACTAAACTTCAAGCCTCTAGTTTGAAGCCCTATGTTCCATTGGGAACGTAAAGGAATCAAATAATAAATAACATTCAAGAAAGTAATTTATCGGTTTTACAGTGATGTAACTATATCTCCACATATCTTTACACAGCAGTTTCTGTTATTTTTGTTGTGTGAGTAGTACAATTTTTCATATAACTAACAATTACATTAGGTCATTTCTACTGTAGGCTTTTGATGTTTCTTTAATTGACAAAAAAAGTTTATTAAACTTTCTTTCCAGATAGCCTGACGAGTTTTCAGGTTTTTCATTCAACTCTATTCTATTGTGTAGTTGTAATTATAGCTTTAACTGAGGTTTTCTCTAGATTCACTGCTTCATATGGATCTCTCATTCTTAATTTTGATGAACTCTTTTGCTGTGATAACTTAACCATTTGAAGTGACTAGCCTAATCCATGCATTTGACCTCTATACCAGTTCAAGAGTCAGCGGACCACGAGCAGTTTCGCCTGGTTAACTGTGTAGGACTCCTGAATCAAAAAAGAATGTTTTGTGGGGAAGGGGAGGTTAGGGTTGGAATTGTATTTTGGTCACAGGAATGTTAAAATGCCTATATAATGTTTCAGAAATTTCTGTTTTATAAGAACTCATTGTGGAGGTTTTGAATTCTTAATTCTTGGTGCTGCTGTTATTATTGGTGTTAGCAATATCTGTGCTTCCAATACTTCCAATAATTTTTTGTAAGCTTTTGAATAAAGTCGACTGAATGAAAACCAAATTCACAATTTTGAAAACATTTAGTTCTGATATTAAACGAGCCAAAACAAATTGTTGAGATGCACAGGTTATGTGTCTCAGACTCGATAATAACAGTTGACGAAAGGTATCTGTAACATAAGAGAAATCTTTACCTAACCATCTGGACTTATAATCACCCTCAACAGGTTATTACATTAACGAAAACAGCGTATTTTGTCTCTAAATACTGTCTTAGGTTGCGAAGAGACCGCAGCAACGTGCAAAATGTTTTATTCGTTTTGAGTAAACAGACTACTGAAAAATAGCTGACGTTGTTCAACTTAAAATATGTTTCAAAATAATTTCGGATAATTTAGGAAATGTTTGATAGTCTATTTTTCTGAAACCTGAAAATTGAAATAGACGATATTTTCGGGGCAAATTATATCACTTTTCAAAGCTGATTTCGACTAAGTTTTTATTCTAAGCCAAGGTAAGGTTGTTACCAAAAATGTAGCCTGAATGACCATGAGGCGGCCGTACAACTGCCGATGGGTTTGACGATGGTATTCTTAGTAGTTGGAAACTCTCAAAAAATGTTTTCAGGATGTGACTTTATATTGATTCAAGCAGTAAGCAAACGAAAGAAAGAGACAATCGAAACTCACCGTTATCAATATATCATCATAAACTTCCCGTGTGATGACTGTTTTCGAGAAGCCATGTGTTTGTATGTGAACCACTTTTTTGTCTGATTCAACAGTCACATAGGCCTGTTCAAAAACGAAAAGGTAATCAGATTTTGATGACGGAAAAGGATAAAGAAAACATGATGCAAATAATAAATTAACTAACAGTTTCCAGTGGAAATCCATCAGATGAAGACTGACAGTAGGCTACAAGTTTTTCCGATAGGTCCAAGTGTCTGTAACTATCTCTATTTTAGGTGTGCACAATCAGTCAGATAAATAAAAAATGCCAAGTATGTCACCACACACAAACTAAAATAATTCATTACTCTAGTAAATAAAAGGTTTATGGAAGTTGTAGTCAAAGTCAACTACAGTAGTCAGTATATCTCCAGAGAAAACTAATCACAAAAAGACTACACATGAAAGACATAACCTCCACTCATGGAGAATTCCCGGAGCTCAATCCCAATTGAAGTTAGATCTGAAGATGTCGTAATTAAACCGTTCAGCTCTAAAAACACAACAGCTCCAAAAACACCCTTAGACCAATAAACTCTCGACTGGCAGATTTGACGGGAACTCCACACCACCCAAGTATTTAGTTGCGCTACAGTTAGTTACCTGGTTCTCTCAATCTGCTTCCTTCAACTGAAGCCATCTTACGAATTGTATGAGGCTCAAAACTGCTAACGTCTCCCCCCTTTAGTGCTAGCAACAACCTATTTTATTTTTATATTTATATTAGCAATGGACAACTAAGTTCTCCACACATAATAGAATCAAAACCAATACCATAGTGTTAACACAGTGCAAGCAAACTGGTATTCTCAAATGTTAGAAATGGGACAAGAACACCTATTTTAGATTCATACACTTCACAAGCCAAATAACGTTGAAATCAAACAAAGTTTGGTGGAACGAATTCGGGAAGAATATGTATCTGATCATCCCATACACTCCATTATTATTCAAAAAGTTATTGGAGAGAAATCTGATCAAATTTACACCGAATCTAATGGTTTTCAGAGGGTTTGTCGTATTTAAAAAGCATTACCACCTTGCAAAGTGTCCACCTACTATAAGTACATTTTAGAAGAGAAATCAAATTAAGCCAAAGTGATTTTTTTAGAGATAGGCAAAAACTGAAATCTAATCACTAAGCAAACTTCGAGGGATAGGAGACAGGTGAAATATGATTTTTTTTTGCTTGAAAAAATAATCTAACCAGTTACTGTCGATTTTCCTCAGAGTATCCTGTCACCAAAAGTATCACACAAGTTCACTGAAATCAAGTTACATTACAATGTTGTTTAATTCATTTATATAAAAGAAATAATCAACTGTTATTCTTACCAAAACAATTCGTCCATCCAGTGTTAATTCTTCAACTTCTTTACCTAATTCATAAGACTGCTCCGTTTCAGTATTGTTCGTAATCATTTTCATATGCAATTCATTATCGCCCAAACTAATAACCAAAGTTGGTTTATATTCCAAAGAAGCATGAAATACATCTTTCGGAGCTCCTTATTCGTTTTTAAAAAAAGTTTCTTGATAATACACAGTAAGACATATTTACCTAATTCGCTAAATAATTCATCCATATTAGAACTTTCAACAAATTTCCATGTTCCAACCAACTCAGCCATTTTAGAAAGAATCGAATAATGTAAATATATCTAACAAAACAACATTTATATCTAAACACAGCATTTTATTACTAATATAATGTTGTCTTGAAATGCATTTTATTACAATTTATGACTTTGTTCAAATTAATTCGGTCAGTTATTGGAGACATATTAGAAGTGACCTTGACCGGTTTGTTTAAATTAACGACAAAAGTTTATCGACAAAAAATCATATAAACATAGGGAGAGAGAGAGAGGAAGAGTGGATTTATAATTTGTGTGGTTTGTATATACACTAAATCATCATTATGATCTGCTAAGATTATATGAGATGGGTTTGGATTGATTTAATGAGTGTTTTTTAACGGTGAAATGAAAATCTGAGTCGTAGATAAATTCGACAGAGAAGCCTCCAGATTTTCAACCCAAATCTCTACCAGCTCATCTATGGGATGCATATGCTAATCAAGTCATAATTACACACAAGGAGATCACCGATATTTCATGCATAATTAAAAATCCAGAGGAAACCTACAGCAACCAATACAATCTGCAAATGGTACAGCAAGGAAAAGCAGAGCCTACTCCATTGGCAAATAAGATATTTACTTCATACATCAAATAAATTGAAATGACCAGAGGAGCTAACCGAAAAGTGGGCTAAAGTTAAAAATTAACATATGACGGCAAAATATGAGGGAATCACAAACACGTATAAAACATAGAAGTGAGTTGATGGGTATGAAGGTTCACCTACGAATACAGCTCGTTTTAAAACGGAAGTAAACAAGCCCATAAGATTCAACACATTATGAGTAAAAGTGATTATATAGAACACTAACCAAACCAGTTAAAAACAGTCTTAGTTCACATCCAGATATGATAGTCTTCTTTGACTAAAACTAAATTTTTAGAAAATTCATTCTTTTGATGAACGGCCAACTGAGCAAGTTAATGTGATATCATTTCAGTTTGTTGGTGCTTACCAACCGCGTACAACCTGAGACAATTTTCACATTACGATACAACATATTCACAAACTTTAATGAATCAGCTTGAAAGAGGAGGTCATTAAAGCTACGATTTTGAACCAGCGAAACGTTGAAATGAAAAATTACCAGCTGACAAGAACCGATGAAACGAGATAGTTTTATGCTGCCCTGCCTCTTTTGTTATCCATACTTTGCTCATGTCAAAATTTCTTCATTAAATTCCCTTACATTAGTGAATTACAAATGGTGTTGAGAAACCGAATAAATGGGACTAGTAGCAGTAAAGTTTATCAACGCCTTCCACTGATGTGCTGGTGAGTATCCGTTAGTCGAAATACATAATGGCAAATGCAGGCAAGGCAAATGCAATTTTCAAAATCAGTTGTTCAGATTGTCCACAAAACTACATCAATCGTTCCGGGTGCTAACTATCACAAATAATCTACAAACATTATCACTTCACCTTCAAACGAAATGAAAAGTCAAACGGTCACGAAACGAAAGTCCTCTTCTCAATTACAGCCAGACCAGAACATAAATGGAGAACCCAAATATTCATGTTACTTGCAAGTAAGTCTCATTCACTGATGTTGTAGATTCTGAAGGTGTCTCCAAGTCTGGTAGTGAAACGTCCTCAGTCGAATGGCCAAACTAATCACTTTTCGAGATTCGCTTCTTCCTTGGTAGGGTTTTCAGTGTCATCTTCAGGTCTATTTCACAAAATATTCATTGTAAACTATAAATTATTGAATATTTGTTATGTATTAATTTGAGACCATATTATGAAGCTGCAGCGAGTATGAAATACAGACTGATAATGAAAGCTGATTCGGGAAAATTTGAAGTTAAGCACCAAGCACCACTGACCGATGAAATCTGAAAAAAATCTCCTCTTTCACTTATATAAGCAGCATCATTTTGACTACACGCGGCACTCATGAGGATGTCAAAACGAGGATAGAAGTAGTAGGGCAGAACTTCATTAATCTGAAATCAGTGTGGAAATCTGCTGCACTCAAAATGAGGAAAAACATTTGGATTTTCAACACTAATTTCAAGTCAGTGCTTCTATAGCTGAGGGACTTGACATATGCGTAACCAAAAGCAATTCCAATATGCTGCACACTTTCATCATCATCTGTCACCTTCGCTCACTACTGAAGAACAGATGCGCAAAAAGGATTAGCAAAAGGGAACTCTGGTAGTGGACCAACCCACAACCTATCGCCCAACAAATATGCATAAGGAGATGGAGATAGATTAGGCATAAACTATGGGGACGATTTAGTGACATAACGTGTCAAACTCTCAGGTAGATCCTGGATGTGAGGCGGCGAGTTGGGCGTGAGTCCGAGGGAGACAGAATATTTGAGGAGAAAATGAAAACTTATGGACAATCGTGCAGCCAGCTTAAGAGGACTACAGAAAACGAGATGAAATGAAGATGTGCTACTGAAGCCCTATTTTCCACTCGGAACCCAAGGGAGTAATAATATAATAAAGTTAAATAACTGCCAAAATAACGTTTGCTCTGTCACTAATACAGGTTTTCTTCCACTATAGCATGTAATTTTTCTATGCTAACCTCTATTGTTTTTATGCACTTGCTCATCATTCTGTTCTCACAAGATTAGTTGATGGATTCTATTCGTTTTATTTCACATACTGTCAACAAGATAATACTTCTTCTAAAGTCTGTGTTACCTAGTTTTTACGAAAAGTCTATTTGCGAATTCACATTTTTCGAGCAGCTACTGAATGTTTTAAAACACTGCATAAGTGTTTTATACTACTTTTAAAGTGTTTAGTAGTATAGATATGATAGAGAAGATTTGTAGCTCAGGTGGATGATTTTGATATGGTTGTGTTCTCTGAGCTGGATAGTTAATTTGCGAAGCTTTCATCGCCCTACTAGGCGACATCTTCAGCGCATACTTCAATTTGAAGTGAGCTTTCAGATTTCTCCACGAGTTTATTAATCATCTCTCCTGGTGACCTTGGACGTGATTGGTTGTTTTTGTGTTTTCACACCTTCTAGGTTATTTGTATTGTAATTCATTGTTTCTTTGACTTGAACTTTGACCCTTTGTGTGTGAGGTTTCTTTCTTATCGGTTGATAAATTTTGTCTATCTCGATGTGTCTATTGATTGATGATTCACTGGAATGCCAAGCTTCTAAAAATTCTCTAGCATTCTTATTGTTTCCTCTGTCTAATATTTGAACGTTGTCCCAGTCGAATTGATGTCCGTGGTTGTCTGTATGTAGTGATATGAAGGAGTGGATATCATGTCTTTTGACAGCTAGCTTATGTTCGTGGATACGAAGACGAAGTGGACGTCCACTTTGGCCAATGTAGTGTTTTTCGCAGTTGATGCAATCTATTTTGTAGATGATGTTGGTTTTGTCTTCCTTCGCTGTTTAGTAGAATCTACCCTCAAAATTACAAATTTAAACACTCAGCTATAGAGACATAAATAGAGAACACAGTAAAATCTTGGACAAAGATGGAATAATTTAATTCCCTGAGCTTTGTAATAACACAAAAAGAGGAGGTCAGCAAGAATAGCTTCAACGCGTCGCACATCCGTGTTAAGCTAGTGTACCGAAATTTGTTAGTCATCGACTGTTAGCTTCACCATAGTTGATATTTATCATAAAAGTAAGCGAGAGTTTAACAAGAACTTTTCTGGCTTTCTATATTTGTTAAGCTTACAGATTAAGGCTATCCATAAGATCACATTAGATTAGAAAGTAGCCCAAAGTATTTCTAAGATATTGGTTGTATTTTAGTAGTATGATTTTTTATTTTGTGATTTTCTGAAATTTCTCATTATTATTATTATTGTTTCCTTTAATTCCTAGAGGAACATAGGGCTTCAGCCGCGCGTCTCCATTGCGTTCGGTTCTCTGCTAGAGTCTTCACCTGGCTCCATGTCTGCCCACACATTTTCATCTCCTCTTCACATGACCTCATCCAAGTCACACTCGCACTGACGACCAACTCGCCGCTTCCCTTTCGGGTTCCACTCGAGCAATGGCTTGTCTAGTGATGTCACTTGATGGTGTTTCCTCAGAGTATGGCCAATCCATCTCCATTTCTTCCTGCCTATTTGTTTCACAATCGGTTCCTGCTGGGTTGGTTCGCTCCCAGAGATCCCTGTTGCTGATCTTTTCTGGCCGGCCATCTGATCTTGAAGTATTGAGCGAAGACAACTGTTAATGAAGGTCTGTAGTTTGTTTGAGATGCTCTTTATGACGCGCAGTGCAAGTCTCTGATCCGTATAGTGAGTAGCACTGACTTCACATTGGAGTTGAAAATCCGGATCTTATTTTTGATGCTGAGTGCTGTTGACCTCCACACAGACTTGAGAGTAGTGAAAGCTTGTCTTGCTTTTCCGATTCTTGCTTTGATATCCTCGTCAGTTCCGCCTGTAGTTGAAACGATGCTTCCCAGGTCGGTAGGTGAAGGAGGTTGTTTCTTTCAGGTTCCTCCCATTTATGCTGATCGTTGTCTGTTGTTGTTGTTGTTGTCCAGGAATCTTCATTACCTCTGTTTTCTCTATGTTCACCTGAAGTCCTATCTTTGATGCTTCTTCTGCCAACTTGTTGCTTTTCGCTTGCATATCTTCCAGTTTGTGGGAAATCAGATATATATCATCGGCGAAATTTCTTATACAAAACATTTAAAGACAAATAATTAAGAATAACATCCTTTGAAGACCCAAACACTTATTCATTATGGTGTTTACTGTTGGTTTTTATCAGAGCCTGACACAATTTTAATGTACTTTAGTCTATTTCAGAGAAGTTTGTAGACCGGAAAACAGTAGTAAAGTCACGTGATAATAGAGAAAGAAAGATGGTGTACTGACTTTAACATTTCCTGTTATCTGAACTTATGAACGTGTATGATTTTACACAGCCTAATTTTTATGAATGAAATATTTGCCTAATAATTGTTTGGTGTATACAGACTACTGTCATTTATAAATATAATCTGTATATATATATATATGATGGTGTGT